CTGCTCGGTGCCCTGCTGGCCGCCGCCGCCGCCGCCGCCGCTGCCCGGGCCTTTGCTCGACTCGCCGATGCCCAGGCGGCCGCGCGGCAGGTCCGGGGGCCCGGGAGTGGGAGCCCCCCGGGCAGGGATGGAGGAAGCGGACATGAGCGGGGTGGGGGCCAGGGAGGCGGCCGGCCAGGCAGGCGCTGGGCAGGCTGGAGGGGGCAGTGGGCAGGGATGCCTGGGACAGCGGAGTAGACAAAGGCTCTCCCTGAGACCCAGGAAGGGCGACGGGGGAGGCCGGGACGATGGGAAAGGGAGGGCGGAGGGGACCAGGCAAAGTACGACCAGGGCCATTTGCAAGGGGGCGAGAGGGGCACTCAAGAGAGTGGACACTGGGTAAAGCAGGGACCAGCAGAGACTGGAAAGGGGACAAGGAACTCCGATTCAGAGGTGACATTTGAATAAGTGGGCTGGAAAGTATCGAGGGGAGTCGGGAGAGGGTGGCAGGAGCTGCAGTAGCAGGAAGCAGCTGCCTGCTTGGGGACAGGCAGATTGGGCCCTGCCACCGCTGCTCAGCCCAGCCCCTTCCTCCCCAACAGGAATCTGCACTGAAGGCCCTGGGGACAGATGGCCTCTTTCTCTTTTCCTCGTTGGACACTGACCAGGATATGTACATCAGCCCAGAGGAATTCAAACCCATTGCTGAAAAGCTGACAGGTACCAGAGAGGCCAGGCACTCAGAGGAGGGCACCTACACCAGGTGCCCACACACACTTTATGGCTGCTTCCACACCCAAGCCTGTCCAGCTCATGTTTGTGAATAATAACACTAGTTAGCCTTCCTTGACCAACCCTCCTTGCCACACCAGCAACTTGAAGCATGTCCTGTGGGCTTTGCCTTTACACTGGCCTTGGGAGATGGACGCTGTCCTATTATCTACAGTTTGGGAGATGGAGGCACAGGCAGGTTCACCTACTAGTCCAGGCTAGAAGGTGGAAAGCCAGGTTGAACCCTGGCCATCTGGTTGCAGGGTCCTGAACTGGCTCACAGGGTTGAGGGTTAGAGGTATCTGCAGTGCTCAATCTGCAGATGTTCACTAGGCAGACACCACAACTGTTGCTGATGCACTGGAAGTGCCTGGGTACAGTGTGGGTCCTTGTCCCTGGCCCCTGCTATCAAATTTTCCTAGGTGTAATCATTCTTTTGTAAAGATGAAGGTCTAAGTGTTCTGAACAGTTACAAAATGCTTTTCCTGCTTCTCCCCTACCACGCCAAGCTCTGTATCCATTTCCTTTATTTTTTTAAACTTTGTGGGGTTTTGTATGTGTAGGGGTAGCACATGTAGTGTGCGTATGTATGTGTATAGTATGCTTGTGGAGTTGATCCTTAGGCACCTTCCACTTCTTGCTTGAGCCAGAGTCTCTTAGCCTGGAACTTTACCACCTAGGCCAGGCCTGTGGTCAGCAAGCCTCCTGTCTCTGCTTCCCATTTCACAGTGCTGGGATTACAGGCATGCACTACTGCACCTGACTTTTTACATGAGTTCTAAGGGTGTGAACTCAGGTCCTCACACTTGCAAGGCAAGTGCTTTATTAACTGAGCCATCTCCCTAGGCTTCTCTCCCCCTTTTTGAGATACTGGGGATTGAACCCAGGGCCTTTGCACAGGATAGGCAAATGTTCTGCCATGGAGCTATGTCCTTAATTCTTTTAAATTTTTATTTTGAGATGGGGTCTCACTAAGTTGCCCAGGCTGTGATGCCCAGGAAAGCCTCCAATTTATAATCCTCCTTTCTCAGTGCAATTCCTCAAACTTATGATCTTGGGCATCTAGTTGGGCTCCCAGTCAGTCGATGAGACAGCAGAGGCTACTACTTTTAGGGATAGGAGCACTACAGTACCATCATGAGTTTGCTGGGTTTAAGGTGGAGTGGAAATGCAGACTTGCTGTGGTGTTATATATCAGTGTCTCTAAGTGTCTGGCAGTTGTGAGAAAGTGAGCAGGCTGTCCCTGCTGGGGTTACCCTCACCTCTTGGTCCTTTTTATGGCCAGAAAGCCAGAGTCCCCTCATAATGATATGCCAGCAAAGCTTGCTGGGATTAGAGGCACATTTAATATATTTTTTCCATATAAATCTTCATCTAGGGAAAGAATCACCCCACTGCCTCTAGGCTGAGGGTACAAGAAGAGATCATTTGGGAAATCAAATGGCAAAATAATAATAATAATAATAAGCAAATTAGTGAAAACTAAGAAAAAATAGAAGCAAACAGGTATCCCTAGTTGACAGAGTTGAGTGTGTTTAATTTTCAGTTTTATACATTGAAATTCTTTTTTCGTTGTTGCTGTTGTTTGTTTTTGAGACAGGGTCTCACTGTGTAGCCCTGATGACCTGGAACTTGCTGTGTAGGCCAGGCTGGCCTTGAACTCATAGAGATCCACCTGCCTCTGCCTTCCAAATGCTGGGATTAAAGGGGCGTACCACCATGCCTGGCCCTTAAAATTTGTTCAAATTGTCTACAGTGAGCACATGTTATTTATATTTTAAAAAACCAAAGTAGGCTGGGTGTGGTGGCTCATGCCTTTAATTCTAGCACTTGGGAGGCAGAGGCAGGCGGATCACTGTGAGTTCAAGGCCAGCCTGATCTACATAGTAAGTTCCAGGACAGCTGGGGCTACAAGGAGACCCTGTCTCAAAAAGACCAAA